CTTTATTTTACAATATTGTGTAATTTCTTTATATATCATTACAAGTTGGTCACAATTGCCACTTTAATTATGTATGCTCAAGTATTGTATGTGATTTTGCATGAGTGCTGGACTTTTTTAATCAGGCGGGCATTTTCTGATTCATTTTGATGATAAGAAAGATAGCTGAAATGTTCAAACTTTTACCTTTAACACGTTTTTGAGATATTCACATTCACTCTCCAATTTCAATGCACAGAGAAAGGCTTGAATCTTTAAAATAATTTGACGTGAATCTAAAATTCCACAGCAATCTTTATAAATGTTAACATTTATCAACATTACATTTTTATGCAAATCCGAGATAGTTAAGCAGGAAATGTTCTCGAAACTGGCTCATCTGAGATGGGATAAGATGTTAAGTTGCTGTTTAAAAATACATTAGTGTTTTCTATGTTTTTCACAAATGCATGTAGTGTAGCTTTCTATCATAGCTGTGCAAACACTGTACTTTGTGTTATTTGTTCAAACGGGGGTGTGTGCAGACATTACTTGACGGACAGCCATACCTCACGCTCCAGTTTTGTTATGTTAATTTCAGGTTTCTTATTGGTTAAGTCGATCAAATGTATCGACAATTAAAACCACCACATGTATAGAAGTATTGAGGGCAGTGGATGCTGTGACATCCTTATGCATTTATTTGCAAGCAGCATATTAAATGTTGCGGGAAGCTGGTGGCATTTAAAATTCTACTTAGTCTCCAGCAGGCTCTCAAATAGTGGGACATTTCCCTTTTTAATGGCTTGTTAGAGCGTATGCAGCTATCTGTGCTCCCGAGAAGAGTTGCCACTGCTAACAAGCAATTGTTAGAACATTTTTCACCAAAATGTGACAAGCACCTGGTGAACAAAAAAAAAAGAAAACGTCTGGAAAGCACAAGAATGCAGCACACCCTTGTTAACACAGAGGAATTGGACACAATTTGATAAAGTGAAGTAAAACTGACAAACTTCCTTTAAGTTATTGCAGATTTCTCTTGTTAATTTAGATTTAAACTGTAAAAGGATGGCACTCGTTTCGAGAGGATTACCTCTTACAAAAGGCCTAACATCCAGCTAAATGACACGCTTACCTTTGTTATACATACTAATAGGCTCCTGAAGGCTTTTATGTTTGTTTAAGAGCCATCGTACTTTTAAGATTAGAAAGATTAGCCCTTTTCGTTATTATTTATGTGCACACAGTCTGTCAGGTTGCGCTGCAGTTTTTAAACTGTACAGCTGCCAGAACATGTTACTGTGTACCAGTACAATTCACTGCTCCTAAAAACCAAACAATATTTTTCTTTTATTCCAAGAGCTCCACTGGATAAATGGTTTTCTCCCTACCTTGACCACAACCTCTGGCAGAAGAGGTACCGTATCTCAGTAGGATCAGCATAAATGCATAAAAAGAAAACAATTCTGTAGAGACATGCACTAAATGGACAAAAGGTATTGGGCCACATGTCCTAATTCTTGAATTCATGCGCTTTCAGTCTCATGGCAACAGGTTTATAAAAATCATCTAGCCATGCAGTCTGTCTTTACAAACAATTGTGCAGTAATGGTTCGTTCCTAAGTGCTACTAGATATTCCATAATCAACTGTAAGTGGTATTATTGCAAATTAGAGGCATTTAGGAATTACAGTAAGTCACCCACAAAGTGAGGCTCCATGTAAAGTTACAGCGTGGGGGTCACTGAGTGCTGAGGTGCATAATGCATAAAAGTCACGAGTGCTCTGCTGACTCAATAACTGCATCGCTCAAGATGTCCTTTGGCATTAACATCAGTACAAAAACTTTATAGCATGGGTTTCCACAGACAAACAGTTCCAGTATTGGAAATCCCAAGTTCCCAGTATCCATGCCCAATGCTCTGTATATATGCACTGAACAAAAAAGATGAACACTGCTTCTTGGTGTGATGAGTGTGCTAATGTGTAAGAAACCCCTGGCTCCAAGAAATCTATGAGGAAAAAATGGCTCCACCTCTTAATTTATTTAATACTGTAACAGCCTCAAATCTTGTTGAACACAGCATCATTTTAATTTAGTAAATTATTCTCCAATTTATGGTAAAATCGACCATAAAGCAGGGTACGCTTTAGGGTATGGCTACCTTGTGTGAAGTCTCTACCTACTGAGTGGACATAGATTCACAGACAAATCCACCGCTGGCATGTTGGTCCTGATCCAAGACTAGGGTTTGGAGGCAAAAATTTGATGATTTAAAATGTCAAAAAAAACCCAACGTGTAATATATCCACTCCTTATGCTAGGGCACAGATGCAGTTATGTTGTCTAAAGTCACATATCTCTGCATGCTACCAATTTAATAGACAGTTTGCCTGGCATCTTTACCCCCATTAAAAATTTATATTTTGTATTTATATCGTGAGCAGATCTTGGTGCATATCTGTGTCAGTTCACACAGATAATGATGCTATGGTGTCACGGCAGAAGTATTCCTCTGCCACTTTTAGCAATGCAGAGTCTCCCTCCATTATTAGTTTTTCTGCCTACACAAAAAAGCAACACAAGTGCTGTTTTCAGTTCTTATTAGCTCATATCTTGCACTGCCTGCTGAACAACACTCCTTCAGAGTACGACAACAGTGTCTCTCCCTCCCAATTGGACAAATGTTTCCATGGACAGTTCTCTATTTTCTAGTTTGTGTGTGTGTGTGTTTTGTTTTTGTTTTAACAAGAAGCTGCAAGAGATCTTGCTTTCCCCTCCTTTTCTACAGAAATGTAAAAGGATACCCGGGCATTCATAGTTCATTATTCCTGAGCAAGCCACTCACTTACCCCAGTTTAGACTTTTAATCACTATATTCTTATAGTAATTACTCAAACGATCCAAAACTTCATGCACATTCACTGGCAGGAAGCAAAAGCAGTACCCTTTGTGCCGCTTTGAATAGTGTTAATCTAAAACAATAACGCGCCCCACGACAAAAAAAGTGAATCTTTAAAGGCTGAGGTCCAAACATATGCTTAAATGTGGTCCTACACTAACTAGACTTGAATTTTCTCCTATTTCCCCTCTCAGTTTTCTCTAGCTCTCTGAACTGACAGGATCATTTGGTGCATATATTAGCACTTCATTATGATCCAAATTAGCCGAGTGAGTCACACAGTGGTCACACTGAATAGAAATTAAAATGTGACTCATAAAGTTACTTTAAGGAAAAGAGTGTTATAAATGAAAAAAAAAGTATTTTACTCCATGTTAAAGATAGCAAAACTATTTAAAAGTGTTTATAGCATCAGTGAATTTAAGGGTGAAATAAATATTTGAAACTTCTTATCTACTCTCTCAGAACCAAACACTCTTGTAACCTAACAAGATTCTCAACTACTCAGCGTAAACCACTGGTGCCATGTGTGTTTGTGTGTTTTGTACCTTCAGGATTTCAGGGGGTTAATCAGATCAATCAAAAAGAGCTGTATTAAGCTTGTAGTAGAAATATCAAAAGAGGCTATTGGTTTGATTGAGGTCTCTTTCTGAGAGCAACAGTGGGTTACAGATGTGACCTGTTGGTCTCAGGATCTTGTGCCTGCTTGTTGCAATGGTTTTTGAGGGCTCCAGCAAGCCGTGACCTCCAGCTTGCACTGGGGTGGTTTGCCGCTGAGCATGAAGCGGTTGAGATGAGAATGAGCACTTCCAAGTCAGAGGCCATAGTTCTCAGCCAGAAAAAGGTGGAGTCCCCCCTCTGGGTTGTTTGAGTTGCTGGCCCGAGTGGAAGAGTAGTACCTTGGGGTGTTGTTCACATGGGAGTAAAGGTTGTGGGAGACTGATAACAGATTGGTGCGACGTCTGCAGTAGTGCTGTACTGGAAAGACCTGAATGTGAAGCGAAGTTATCCATTTACTGGTTGACCTATACGTTCCTTTCCACACCAATGAACGACAGCTCTGGGTAGTGACCAATATAATACAGACACAACCGGTGAAAACGAGGTTCTTTCTGGGTCTCCCTTGGAGGTAGGGTGAGAAGCTCAGTCATTCACGAGGACTCAAACCAATAGTAGGCAGTTGAGGTGGTCCAGACATCTGATTAAGATGCTTCCTGAGCACCTCCTTAGTGTGTGTGTTTTTTGGGAATCCTACTGGCAGGAATCCCCAAGGCAGAGCCGGGAGACATGATTATGCAAACTCCTTGTTGTTGTTCCAGTCAAAATGGAGTAGGTGGCAAAGGAGAGGGACATCTAGACATCTCTGCTTAGACTGCTTGAAACCCTGCAACCCAGAAAATGTATCTATGAAACAATGTATTTTACTGTGCTGTTAGTCATTGGGCATTTTGTCAGTGTAAAAGAAGAAGATCGGATTTTGTACAATGTGACTGATACATGAAGACTGAATTTTACCATTTAGACCTTAAAAAAAGCCTTTTCAGCATTTCTGACTGATAATAATCAGTACTGGTTATTAAATGCAATCAGCAAAGCTTATGTATTAACAAATAAGATCAAAGTTTCCCATCCTAACTGTTGCAACAAAATGCAAACACAACTGCAAAAAAAGATGGCCATCAAGCCAGTTACAGTCCTGAGAAGATGCAGTGTCAATGAGCACATCTGGTCATGGGTGGTGGGTTTCTTTCCTTCTGGACTTTCCTTGAAAAAAATAAGTTATATCAATGTTTAGTGTCTCTCACCAACATGTGGTGAGTATTGTTGAGCTCAGATGTGCAGATGTGTAAAGTGCACCATGAGGGCATCATCAAACAAGTGGAAAGCCAATTCGAATGTTTACATACATGTTTAAGATCCACAGATATCTGGGACAAGTTATTCCCCAGTGACGATTCTTAATGTTTCAAGTTGCTCTAATGAGCTCAAATTACCAACAACAACTAACTAACAACAAATAACTTGTTCATCACTTGCTGCACACAACTTGATGGTGACATTGTTTAGCAACTGCATCTCTTTACAGAATAAAGTTTAACTCCTGCTTTGTGTTTTCCAGGAACATGATTCGCTGTGAGGGGCTCAAGGAGACGAGAACCTGAGGGGGAACTGCTTCAATGGCGTGGACTGAGCCTCGGTCTCATCAAGACCCACAGCCAAAACCAAAACTGAAATTTTACCATCTCAGAACTCACTCTGCTTCTTCATCAGCTCTCTTTTTCCTCATGATTGCTGCCTTTGCTGGCATCTGTACAGCTGCTCCACCGCAGCCAGCCTTCCCCCCTCTCCTGTCTGGACAGCCTTTTATTATCTTCTGGGGTATCCCTGATTCTTCCTGCTCTGGTCGGCCAGATCCCGGCTCTTTCGGGATGGAACGGGACAGCCGTGTAGCTGTCTTTTATGAAGATACATTGGGGAACTACCCTTACTTTGTAGATATAGACACGCCAATAAATGGGGGACTACCACAGCACACACGGCTGGAAACTCACCTCCAGAAGATGAAGCAGGACTTAGAGGAAGCTTTACCTGCCCCAAGGTACCTTGGTCTGGGGGTACTGCGTTGGGGTGAGTGGGTCCCTCAGTGGTCGAGGAGTCGAGAGAAGCAAGCGTTATATGTGGAGGCATCAAAGAAACTGCTCAAGGGTTTTTTTCCTAACTGGACCCCTGCAGAAGTGGAGAAGTGGTCAAAGGTAAGGAAAATCCAAGGTGGTAGAAGTAAAGAGCCACTATGGCAAGAAGAAAAGCTGGTGAAAAGGTAGAAATGCTAAGATGAGTTCATTTTAAAGTTCAGGGCAAACTGGGAAGAAGCCAACTTTGTTTTAAGAAAAAATGTTTGATGACAAATTCAAAAGAAATGCTGCTACTAACAGCCCCACTATGGTCTTTTTTGCTTTTGGTTATCACACCAAAGTTGCATCATTAAGCAGGCAAGATTTTAAAGTAACAGTGTAAAAAAACTATAAAGAGAAAGACGATGAGGAAATGTGAGGAAGGAAAATGTAGAAGAAAGTCAGACTGAAAATTTGGTACTTATCTCGTGAGTGTATTTTATGTGATGACTCACTTGGACAAAGTGATCCTTGGCATCATTTTGTAGCAGAGAGATTATCATTTAAACCTCAGCGTGGCCTTAGAAAATACACAACTTGCATTCATTTAGACAATTTGTGTAAACATAAATATGTGTAAATAAGATATTTTAACCACATATTCACACTTAGCAACTCTAAGCAGTTGTGTTTATGTAATAAAACTGCTAAAGTGATTTCAGATGTATTTGGTGTACTGTCAAGGCCAGCATGGTAAGAGGCATTTTAGTAAAGGCAGAGAATATTGCTAATAAAATGTCAATCAAATTTTGTTTTTTCACTTTTTTTTGTTAACTTTTTATTAATTTTTTTTAGGTTATTTTTTTTAAAAATATATATTGCTTTTGATCTGTTGTAGGTCTCTTCCTGTGATATTATAGTTCTGCTGGGTAAACAGTGGCTGGTGACTGCAGCACAACCAAAACTACAATGTACATACAAAGAAATTCATATTAAACAGAAATTTACATTAACTACTTGCATTCAGTCCAGACAGAACCTCATAGATTTGAAACAGAAATTCAGAAATTCATAGTTGCTGCAGGAAAGTAATTTAAATTGCAAAATGACAGAGGCGCTCAGTGACCAAGCTTTTACACAGGAATATAAGCAACCAGCTGTGCCGAATCCCCTATTGCAAAGAAATGTGTCACAGATGAGTTGTGTTTATCAGTGCATTGGCTTCTTCTGGGGAGGCTAGTCTATCAACTATAGTGTTCCATTGTGTGCTTTTCTATCCAGCCAAGCTTTTACTGTATTGGCAGCGTGTTTGGAATCATTATCACACTCAAAAATAAACCTGGTGCCAATTAGATGCTGTCTAGATGATACTGTGTGGTTAAAAAAGCCAAACCCCAAATCCTCAAATGTGTTAAGGACACACTGCACACAAGGCTAACATATACCAAGTT